GTCTACCTATTTATATATGTATAAGATTTTTCAACTAATAAAGAGAGAGTCTGTCTACAATTTAGTTGCTGCAAATTTTGCGCCTTTGAACTTTTTAGTAGTACGAATTAAAAGATGGTGCATTCAAACTTTCTGAGAAACATCAAAAATTAAAAGATTCCCCCGCCTGTGAATCACCCGAACTACTTGTTAATCCAAAATTAATTTTTGCCAAAAAATTTGTCAAACTTCCCATCCTGTATTGTTTGAGTATCTAAGTTTTTCATGTTGTGTAGAAGAATAATAAACAAACAAACACAAAAATGTGTTATAATGGGTGTCTCAATTTGTCTTAACACTACCAAGCCTTTGAGTATATTTTTGCCTTCAAAAAGCTTCTCACCAAACCGTTTGCCATTCGAAGACGGTGGAAAATTGTAGGTGTGATTTAAAAACAAACAGGTCGCATCGAGCCACCCTTTAATGTACGAGTATTTATATAACCCCATGTGATCGCATAAGCCCACGAGTTGCAAATTAGTCAGACCTCAACCTCATGTAAATGTCATGTTAATGAGGTGTCAAACAAAACGTCAACGTGTGCGCTCATTCACATGAGCAGCGCGACCCGAAGCGCACATACATATACATACATACGTTCTTGTGCCTGACGCTGCCAACTGCTATTGCAACAACTGCCACTCAAGTCAACACCAACAGTGAAGCACTCACTCAGTCAATCCGCTCACAGCGGCTGAGTGGCAGGGAAATGTAGGCATACATATTTATGTACAGCAGCTTAGCACCAAGCACAGATCATCTGCAACAAAACCAGCAAAAGCAACAATAACAGCTGCATATGTATAGCGGTAAGCATAAGAACAATGGCAGCATTTCTGCATGCCCTTGAGTTGCAACGCGAGCAGCGCGAGTGTGTTTTGCTGTGTGCTCCATTGTTTTATTTCTGATTACACTTAGCTGATGGCCGCTCCATGATTTTGTGGCGCATGCGCCAAGCAGCGGATAATTAACTAAATAATAAAAGTGGCTGAAAATTAATAAGAAAAAACTTTAGGGTGGGTTGACGTGCAGTGGAGTATGTGTGTTGTGAGAAATTACACTAAAAATAATAAGAAGACAACTTTTGACGAAAAATTTAAGTTAAGGTACATTAGTCAGTTGGGCTTGGGAGTTCACAATCCCAAGGCTGTATTTGGTTGGTTAATTGCAGTTCCGAGACGATCATCTAGTCTGGTGAAGGAATGAGCATTTTTTCGTCCAGAAAGTCAGAAAGGTTGGTGTTAGTCAAGGATACTAAACCCATTGTTGATTTCATTACTTCGGATATTAACGATTTTAGTGCAGCTTTACTGCCATAGAATCGATCAACTTTTCCTTAGGAATCCACCAGCTAGGCGCAGGTGTCTAACAGCATTGGTCCCAACCAAACATGCGATGTTGAAAAAGCTAGATCAGGTAGGAGTATACCATCATCAGCAACGTACTCAAGATATCAAGCTCGTTATACCTGATTTGTGAAAATCTGGAGGTATTATCGATAGCTAACAGTCATCCTCTCATTGGCCGCTTTGCTAAAAAGCAAAAACCACAACATCATCATAACACTTAGGCCATAAGCAAATTAGGGTTACCCAAATTTGTAACAACCGATTTATGGATGTGTACAATTGCTTGTTGCAGTTATTGAGAGCATCAATAAATGATTTTGCTCTTTTTCCACCGGAATTTTTGAACAGTGCAGGCAAACCAGTGTTGCCACTTTACCACAATTGTCAATTGTTGGGTGCCAACCCCCAAAACGCACCCCCCTGGACCCGCCCCTACTTGCAATACAGAAATTGCCGTCTAAGGGTTCTCTATAAGCAAACTTTAAACAAAAATTTTACAAAAAGTTAAACGCTGAGCACACATTTTTAGGTTTAAAGATCTAATTGAATACAGTCTCTAAGCACTAAGGTACCTTTCATTATTTCTTTCACTTTCGAACGCAAATAAAAACTTTATAAAATTTTTATTTACTACTCTATCACTTGAAGGCGCTTGAATTTTCTTAAGCAGCCAACTTGCGATAAGACAGTTTTATTACTTAAAAATATACAATTTTTATTGCTACTCGGCAGCCTGCTACAGAAACACACAGCAGCAAAGAATGCGAGTCTACAATGACGCGACTATTTGTTATGCGCAGCTTGATGTGAGTAGCAGACAGCAGACCTGCACGCTGCAAAAGTTTTATAAACGAATAAGCAAGTGTGTGTGTGTGTATGTGTATGTGCTTCGGCGGAGGAATAAATTCGCGCACGATACACTTTTACAAAGTGAACAAAAAATAACTAAAGCAAATTGTTAACCAATGCGCAGCTGCTCATTGACTCCTTTTAGCGTGAGATATTGGAACGCTGCTTTAAGCTGCTTGCTGCCCAAAACAACCACGTGCTGCTTCAAATCATAAACTTAATATTAACACATATAAAAGTCATTCGTGTTGCGTTGTGGAATTTTAATCGCTTCATTAAGCTGTGAAAGAGTATTGGCGCGTCACAACATTGAGGAATAACAGCGACGACGACGTAAGCAGCAGCCACTACCGCTACAAACTGCAAAAATAAAAATGAAAAGCATTTGCGCAGGCGAACACGTGCATGGCAAATCGCTACAGCAATGGGGCGGACAGCAGCAACTGTAACACAAATAATGCGCGCGCGATAATGGCCATGGCTGTGCCATTAAATATTTATTCTTAAACAGGCTTTGGCGTGCACTTGTTCTGCGCTTGCGGCAACACTCACCACCTCAACAACCACCACTACCACAACAACAAATTAACTGTGCGTGCATTTTTCTGAAGTTTTTGTAGCAAAGTGTATTGGTAGGTAATTTATAACTCCTTTTGGTTTACTTTATATTGGCAAGCCGCATGACGGTATTAGCAAGTTCGCTGCTTAAGTCTTTTGTATTAATTCTGTTCGACAATCGATATCGTGATTGAGAAAAGTTTGATATAAAAAATTTAAAGGGATATTTAGTGAGTAATATTGCGCGTGATATATGTAAAGTATGTACATTCTTTTATTTGCAATTGATTATGTGTTCATGGTTAAAAAATTCAGAAAGAAACGAGATCACCTGCAATTATCTGTGGAACTCTTAAAAAAAAAGTAGTGTTCATTTGGGGGCAGTTTAAAATCTAAGTTATTTGTATCTTTGTACACCTCCCTCAAAGACTTCAATCAGGGCTTGGAATGAATGTTTATAGCTTGGGATCCTGCAATTTCAAAGCTGATGTGAGTAGATTTTGTCCAGCGGTGAGATCCAATTGAATCTAATAAAGCAAAATTTCCAATAGAGATTTCATTTTGTGGTCGTACCTCCTCGAATCCAAATAAATGCACAAATTATTTAAACTGGTCGGAAGGCTGCGCAAATGCCAAAAATTTATGGGGTACTCACTTTCAACAGCAGCGTAGTTTAAAGAAAGTTAACCCTTAATTAGGCGCATAGGGTCAAGGCCATTTCAAGTTGAAAAAAAAACAAATTTCTTGATGTGCTTTAAAATAGCTAAGTTAACGGCCCTTAGAAACAAATTCAAGTATGACATTGGTCTGCAATGATTTTGGTGCCAAAGAGCTATAATTATTTTTAACTAAGATTACATAAATAGAAAAGTATGCATTTCCTAGGCGTATTTTTTAAATAATGATTTGAACAGAAAAACACAAAGTTGTACCAAAAACTCCACATTTTAAACTATTATGGGGATAAAAACTTTCGCGACTTTCCGCAATGAGGTGTGGTGGTAATATCACATTGCGACCCCTAGCGGTATTCAACCAGCATATGACCATCCCATCCTGGTGAAACTTCTCTCCTTGGAGGTAGTGCATTATTATTATGCACGATTTCTTATAATTTCCCAAACAGTTTTTAGTAACTTCATAAAAACCCAGAACAACCTACGTGTTCCTCGTTCATTGATTTTGGTAAAAAAAAAACATCCTTTTTAGCCATCGAAAATGCTCGTTTTTATCTTTCCTTTGCAAAGACGAGGAAATTTTCTAATTACAAAAGAAAAACTTTGCCAATTTTTGAAAAAGATCGCATAAGGCTTCATTAAAACCATCTACAAAAACAATTTCCAGAATAATTGCTTGACATCTGTGCCAAAAAAAAATATCATTTTTCAAATGAGAAAACTGTGGCAGGACGAGCTCTCTTGAGTGCAAAGAAGATTTTTTCCTTTAATCTAGAAGCCAATACTTCCGGAGTTTATTTAGATAATTCTAGACACCTTATCAAATCATTGCATCACCTACGGGTGAAAAGGTGCCAAGTGAATTTTTTTAAATTCTTCAGAAGAAATAATTCTGTATATTATATGTGATATCAGAAACAATTTAATTATAGACAAAACTTACCTTAAATTCAAAACTACACGTAGTAAATAAAAAATATTTTTGGTGTTGCCAATGCACACCTAATATAAAATAACTAATGACATCTCGACACATTTTTTTTTTTAGTTGTTGACCTGTATTATTTTAATAGTCAGTAAGAGCTGATATCCTCTTGACTAAAATAAATTAAAAACTAACACAAATTAAAAAAATAAAATATCTAAAATAAAATAAAATAAAATAAAATAAAATAAAATAAAATAAAATAAAATAAAATCTAATAAAATAAAATAAAATAAAATAAAATAAAATTAAATTAAATTAAATTAAATTAAATTAAATTAAATTAAATTAAATTAAATTAAATAAAAGCGAGAATTTCTTTTAATTAGACATCCTTCATTTATACCTCACCGCAAACCCAAATTTTTCCCACTTGAAAGACAGACACGAATATTATTTTTTATTTTAAGGTTTCTTTATTACTGTTTTAAAATTTTCTTAAAATTACTTATTTTAGCTCAACGCAATAATAATCAAACAAACTCAAATCTATCTAATATTATGCTAAGACACTAAAAACAAAATATTTGGATTTGTGCAATATTTGAGCTAAAATTAAAGGATATAATTTTTAAATTTTTGTAAGCTATTTACAAGTGAAAATAAAGAGTACATACCTATATAAGAGACTTCATAAAACAGAAAAATCCAATTTTACAGAATTAGTGTAATACTATAAATTTACAAATAATTGATGGTGCAGCTAAATCATGTTTTTTCCTTTTTTCGACTTTCCATATTATTTAACAAACACTCATACAAATCTGCGCCACTTTGTTGTTATAAATAATTTTCCCATTTTCTACTAAAACCTTACGTAACTATTTAAAATATTTGCATTTGCATTTGCATTAATTAAATTAAAATAGACTAAATGCGACTAAATCGCGATTAAAATCAATTACATTCGAATATTTGGATCTGGATAAACACATACGCATGCATGTACATATGTTTGTATTGCTTTGATGAATAGTTGCCGTCTTACGCTCATTTATTGCTGCTTTTTCCATCGTTTGTTTGCACGGTATTGCCATCTCGCTTCAACTTGTATTTGTCGCAGGCTAAAGCCCAATTAAAATACAATATGCCCGCAACAAAACGAAAGAGAGGAGGTGTGTGTGTGTATGTGTGTGCCTCGAAATCTCCATCTAATACATTATGGTAAGCTTCTATGACCGTTAGATGAGCGTGAGCATATGTAGGCGTGTGAATTCGATCGAAGAGCGGCAGGAGAGCGCATTAGCAAGCTACATATATAACTGTATGTGTGTGTGCACATGCATATGTGCGCTTATTTGCATTTTTTACAGTTGCGTCGATCAAAGCCCACAAAAACCAGCATGAACGTACAAACGAACAACAGCAACAATCAAATTATTGCTTTATTGGCAGCGAGTGAACTCCTCCCACAGCGCCTACTACAAGTCTCAGCTGAGCGCCGGCGCCAACGTCTACTTTAGACGCATACAAAGATGCCATGCAAGCTTGTCGCTGACGCCGTTGACACCGCGGAACCATGCGACGATGCATAACCCACTGAGCTGTAGCCTTCATCGATCAATTTCTGCCGCTTACCCACAGCGACGCCGCTGGCATCCGACGAGGCATCCGATTCGCAGTGTTCACTGTTGAAGTGAAAGAATTTGCGACGCACATCAACCGCCGTTGCCTCCTCTTCGCTCGATTCGCAATGCATATCGCAGTCGCCACTGCCGCTGCTGGTGTTGCAGCTGTGCGTGGAGGCGCGTGATATGGAGCTGACCGCCTTCATGCTGAGATCCATGGGGCAATCCTGCGCGTCAGCGACATCGCTGGCATTCTGCGGCTGTGTACTTGCAGCGCTGGTGCTTTCAGCGCCAATGGAACAGACCGAGACTGGTGAGAGTGACTGCATTTTGGCGGCAAAGGAGAGCGCGGCAGATTCAGCGATGGCGCTAGCAGTTGGTGTTGGTGAGCTTGGCTGGTGTGTTGGGGAATTGACTGAGTTGGGCGTGAGCGCTGATGTTGGCACCGGTACGGAGAGTGGTGGACTGCTGAGCGTGGGGATGGTGTGTGGTGTGGCGCGTATCGCAATGGGACTGTGTATTTGGTGGGGGTGGGGGTGGGTGTGGGTGTGGGGGTGCAACTGTTTTTGTTGGCGCTCTTGCTGTACTTGGTGGTGCACACGCTGCTCGCTGGAGCGTTGTGTAGATGATAATGCTGGTGAAGGCGAATGCACATCCAGTTCATCGTCCTCATTCTCATCACCGCCCCCAACGCACAACTCCGGTGAATGACGCGCGGCTTCTTGTTGCTCGCGCATTTGCTGCTCTGCAGCTGCTGTAGCCGCAGCGGCGGCGGCGGCGGCGGCAATTTGCGGTGAGTAACGATGCGCCGAATCAGCGGAGGCAGCTGAATCTACAGACTGACGATGCTTGTACATTTCCGAACGATAAGCGGCATCAGCGGCCGCTGCAGCGGCGGCGGCGGCATTTGGATGATAAGCAGCCGCAGCAGCAGCGGCTGGGAAGAGCAAATGTGGTGGCAACTGGAAGGCAGACTGCGCTGCGCCCATGCTCGGCAGCGAGCTCATCATGCTGAAGAAAGGCAACGAGCCAGCAGCGTCGGCGGCCGGGTGACGCGCGGCAGACATGAAAGGTGCTGCTTGAGCCATCATGTCGGGCAAATGGTAGCCAGGATAGCCGAGCAAGCCACCAGCGGCAGCCATGTGTGGGTTGAGCGATTGCATATGTTGTTTGGCAGCAGCGGCGGCGGCGCTGGCCATATCGCCATAGCCGCCGGCATTTGGATTCGCGGCTGGATTACCGCCGGCAACAGCAGCTGCGGCTTTGTTCGCAGCATCGATGGCCTGCTGTTGTTGTTCCTGCAGCAAGCAGTGGATCTTGAACCAATTAGAGCGGCGACCATAGCGGGAACCACCCTTCGACATGCCAACTGCGTAGCATTTGCGTAGGCGGCAAGCCTTGCAGGTGGTACGATTTTTCTTGTCGATGACGCATTTACCGCTGTTCTTGCATTCGCTAATCGAGGAGAGATTGTTGTACGAGCGGCCGAAAAAGGACTATAAAGAGAGAGAGAAGAAGAGAAAGGGAATTGATTAGTTAATTTTGAAAAATATACGTTGTCGTCGGTATTTTTTTTCTGCAAAACAGGCAAAAAATTTTCGCATTGTTGGCCTTGCAGAATTTTTCAAACCCAGTTTCTTAACTGGTTTTTGTTAATACTTCGAACACAAAAATGTTTTATCGAATTGACTTTTTTTGGAATAATTCTAATTTTTTCGAACTCGATTAGTTTCGATATTAAAAGAACTCGATTGTTTCCATTGTAAACTGGATTTTCGATATTCGATATACGTATTATATAGATATCGAAAATTCTAAAATCTAGTTTTTTCGAAATCGGTTTTTGCAATAACGAAATTTTTGAAGTTAAATATTTCAAACTTCAAAAAAATTTTGGTTTTCGTTTTTTTTTGCATTTTTTTCTATAAGTTTTCTTCAAATATAGTTTCTAAAAATTAACCGAATTTTTCGATTTTTGATGTTGATTATTTTGAAATTTAAAAAATTTTCGTTTTCGTTTTATCCAATTTTTTTTCGAATGTAATTTCTAAAAATTAACCGCTTTTTTAAATATCGAAATTTTTTCGAACTTCTTTCTTTTAGGTTTTTTTTTTGTTTTAAATTTCTTTCGATAATTTTTTTTTTTGGTGTTGGACTTGCTCTATAAAATAACCGAATTTTTTCGAGTTTTCAGACAGGTTCTGTAATTCACTTTCGTGTGAATTTCAACCGAAGTCACTTTGAATTCAAATTGAATGGGCTTTAAATTTACTCGGAAGTAAATTGCAGTAGCTGTCTGAAAAAATTTACATTTTCAACCTCTTAAAAAATTTTTGTTCAACACTTACTTTGCAGCCCTCACATGTGAATGCGCCAAAGTGAAATCCGGCAGCTGGTTCTCCGCAAACTTTGCATGTTTGATTCATCTGTAAAAAAAAAAAAATAATAATCAGTGATTAGTCAGTGGAAAGATAATAAAATTTTTTTAATACTTTTAGATATATGAACGAATTATATTTTATTGTATTTATTTAAAGTTAAACAAATTATGAAATTTTAGCGGAGTGTTTTCCATTCCATAAAGTTGTCGACTTTTAGTTGAGTGTAATTCTAGTTTTAATCTTTCAAATTTATGTAATGTTAGATCATGAATTTTGGGACACGACTTTCACAACAGCTTTTTCGCACTAATTTACTTAGGTCTGACGCAGTTTTTTCTTTGCAATCTAACTAACCATATTTAGGCCCACTTCGGGTATGCACACATCCATCATCTCAGCCATCTATTGATACACTAATTTCTTACACTTTAAAACTTTGTTTCGCTTCACTAAATACGCTGAAAGTGTTTTCTACTTTTTTTCTTTCGCTCCTATCGTTGTTCCGTTACCACTGACGTTTGTCGCATAAATGCTGCATATGCTTAACTCGTCCGTTTTTTATAGGCGATCCTCAAAAAGGAGTGTATACACAGCTACTGCGAAAGGAGAGGCCGTGCAAATTATCGATGCAAGAAATATGACGTAGAATATGTGTTGGTGTTTGTGTATAAATGCCTTACTCTAAAGACCGCGCAATTTGCTACCTAAGCTGAGAACTTTGCAAACAATAACTTGAAATGAGTAGCCATGAAAAATGTATGCAAAAAAAATGCGTTTGAATAGCCGGCGGCAGGTATGATATTTGAAAGAGCACTCATCTAGTTCTAGATATTCATTCTTTCAACTAGCCATTTAGGCAGGCAGTCAGTTCAAGCTTATGCATAATTATTTGTTATGTTGGTTGAGAGTGATGCTTTTCTGTAGCGATTGTTGTTGGAGGAAATTATATAATACTACGCTTAAACGCTTCACAACGCTAAACAATACATGGTTATAGCTAGCAGTTCCACTCCTATTGCTTATTTCCTAGCGATATACTTGACAACTTCATCAAAAATGCGCCTGATAACTTTCACAAAAAATGCAAAATAGCAGCAATTTTCGCCTGCAAACCAGCAAACGGATATTTTGTAAATTTTTGCAATTTTCCGTTCATGCTTTAACTGGTTACATACATACATGTAGACGCTCATAAATCATGCCCACCTTGGTTGCTGTCATCACTACCTTCTACTTAATATCTTTTTTAGCCATTTTGCACGCTTCATTCCTGGTCATTTGACGTTGACGTAACCTTGAAGCGTGTGCATTATTTTGAACGTCACTCAGCGGGTGTTTGGTCATTAAAAAATGTGGTACTGCGTTAGTTTTTTGGCTAATATTATCTGCACTGAAATTTCTGTTTTTGAAGACACCTTCTTCTTGCCATCGATCTTCTACATAGTAAACTGTTGCGAATTTCTCATTTGTTTTCTTGTTTATTTAGAGTTTTTTGCAATCTTTGTTTTTTAAGTGCAATGTTTAAGAAATATTTTTCTTATTTGCTAGAGCGTGACTTTTCGTAGAATTAGAGATAAGCGTGAAAATTGCAAATATTTCAGGAACAATGTTGCTTGTGAACGGTGAGCACCTTTTTTAGTTTTGATCAGGGACCGAACATAACAGTTATTGATGAAAACTGTCATGGAAAAATTCACTATCAAGGAAATGTGCTACAACTAAGTGATACATACCAATCGATTTGTTTTTTCACCGAGAACTAAATTTGAAACAAAAATTTTATTTGCAATTTTTAAGCAACATTTAAAAATATAACAATTATTTTTTTATATTATAAATTCAAAATAACAATTATTTTTTACTTTTTCCTTTGTATGTCGCAGATAACAGTTATCGAAGACTTTTTGTAAAAGTCATCAATAAAAATCAGTCACCGACTTTTATTTTTTTAAATCATTCGTATAAAAGTCATTGACATTTTTCGCTGTTAAGAAGGTCTTGGGAAACAAAAGTTTACTACTACTTATACAAATGACTTTTATATGTATGATTTAAAAAATAAAGGTCAGTGACTGATTTTTATTTATGACTTTTATAAATTAAAGCCTTCGATAACTGTTATTTAAGACATATAATTTAAAAATCGAAAATAACTGTTATTTGCATTTTATTTAGATTAAGATCTAAAATAATTGTTATTTTGGATTTATAAAATAGAAGGCAGAAATAACGGTTATTGAAGGAGTAATTAAATAAAAGTCAAAAAACGATTGTTAAATAGCGATTTTTTTAATAACAGCTGTAAATGTTACGCCCACTAGTTTTGATTTTACTTAAAGATCGCATGTCCAACAGTAGTAGTGAAAGGGATTGTAACACAATTTCTTAGGCAAGCAAAATTTTAAATAGTTAAAAAAGTATACAAATACTGAATAGCTTCGATACTAAATTTCAGATACATATAAACAAGAAGTGTTAAAAATAATCACCTATGCAGCAACGGTTTTATAAAATTACTTTAGAGCTTTTTAAAAACTTACTTAGTTTTGTTTGAAATTTTGGATTGCCCTCAACATTTTTGCACCGTATCTTAAACCTCAAAAAAAATAGTTTTACAAAATTTTTCCCTCACTCAAACCAATGCAGATTTCTTGAGCCTGAGCTATGTAAATACCACATATATACATGGTACATACGTACATGTATGTGTGTACATATGTTCATATACCTTTGGTTATGGTTCTGCTCAGATTGTATTCAATTTTCTACCGCACAAGAAGTCATAATTAAACTAGCCAACCTCTACAAATCTTATGTTATGCAATGCTAAAAACCATAATGCATTCCCATGACAGTTACCTGTTTTTTGCAACTAAGTTGCTCTAGTTTTGAGAAGAAAATGGGATTAGTGTAAATGACATACAGCTCACAGTGTATGAAACCATGAAACCGCAAGTGTTAAAAAGAGACAATTGAAATTTGTATAGTTTAAGTATAATTGGCGTAGAAGTTAAAGGCCAAATATGAGGACGTAAAAGGGAAAGCACTAAATACGAAGTGAAGTAACTAGTTGTGCAACAATTTATCATTTATCAACTAGCCGGGGCAGGTTAAATAATATTTGCTTGAAATATAAGTATTTGAATAATAAATATTAGGAGTTCGAGAAACCTGCTTACCTACTTACGATCGATTGTTTTCTTTAAGCAAATTTAAGATTTTAAATAACTAGAAGACCAGGCGAACCTCGTCCCGCCCAAAATTAATTTTTTATTGAAACATTCGGTCCAACATTTTCACCGACAATTAACCTTTGTGTTGGGTTTTGCGATCATCAGAGGGCATATCCTCCATTTCTCTCTTAAATAACCAAATGAAAGCGTTATGTTCGTGAAGAAGTTCTTGCGGCAACAATGATCCGGTTCAATGGTGAATCGTCCTTGATTCTGTATAGTACAGTTGGTGGAACTTTCAAAATTGGGGAGTATCTATGGTCCACATAAATCTAATATACATAATAATAGACTTATTTCAAACAAAATATCATAATTATCTTGCAATTGTATTCGTATATTGACCCTACAAAAAAAAAGTTCACTAACATCTTTTCACTCACAAACACACGTACCGAAGAATTGTTTATGTCTATACAGATAGGTAAAGGTTCTGTATGTCTGGAAGGTGACATGCTCTCTTTCCAATAGCCCCCACTTTTGTTCATGAGTATGGGATTAATTCAAATATCTACATACCAAGTTCCAGGACTCTACTACAAATATATCTAGAGATATACGGTATGAAAAATTCGATTTGTATGGGTGATGCCATGATATATCAAAATTATTATCAGCCTATAACCACCATAACAGCCGTTTGTGGGATCACCTCTTATAAAAAGTAGGTATTTCTCTTTATTTAATTAGTTAATATAATAAGTATAGATAAATAGCCAATACCCGCATGTTTTGCGGCGCCTTAAAATACCTTTCGATCTGAAAAACAACCATTCAATTCTATTCAATGTACAATAAGGAAGCTTTTTTCGAATACATCGGTCCCTGGCCCACCTATCGGAAAAAAGGATCCGATACGCCAATCTAGGCAAAAATCTACTTACGCGCCAAATATCAAGCATACGATAATTACGGTTTTACCGAATACATTGGCCCCTAGGAATTCGCACCTTAAATGAGAATTTTCCGATCTCTCTCTGGTCCACTTACCGGAAAAAATGATGATATATATTAACCCAGGAAAAAGGCCACCTACTTACCAAATTTCAAGCAAATTGGACCATAAATAAGATTTTTTACTTTTTACTCAAGCCGTGAAACTATACTTCAAAACAGTGTTTTAGTCATTCAATTTGGGGAAGTATTATGAGAGATGTGGCGCTTTTTTTACCGGATACAGTGCTTTCAGCTCTCTAAAACACCCAACAAATGATCAAATTTAAACAACGTGACTATTTTTCGCATGTACGTGTGTTTCTCCCCTCCAACATGAGATATCATTCATTAAATTTGATAAAATGTTAAAGGAGATATCGTAACAGAAAAATATCTCTCACAAATATGTACATACATAGATATGTTATTAAATTATCAAGCAACTAATAATCAAGATACCGATTTTAAGAGATCTACATATGCTTACGCTACCATCAAGCATGAAAAAGTTTATCGAAAATTATAGCCAACCAACGTAAGACAGTGGGCTCCCATCCCCTTAGGAGCTCTGCCGTTTTTGCCGCATTTTGCTGGGAGTGTCAGCACTTTCGTTGCTATCGAAGCCCTCATGGTCCAGAACCAACCACTAGGTAACTCTGCTCAATTTCGAAAATTTCACACAGAAAGGCTGAGGTCCGATCAGGCTCCGTTTGGAACGGCATTTTGCTGGGAGTGTCAGCACTTTCGTTGCTATCGAAGCCCTCATGGTCCAGAACTAACCACTAGGTAACTCTGCTCAATTTCGAAAATTTCCGCCTGGAAAATTTTTGGATTTACGCTCATTGAGACGCTCTTTTTAAATCTAGGTTCATAAACGCCAGCCCCAGTGTTCCCATCCCATCCCTGCGATCCCGCGCTGAACATGACGATTACCATTTTACATATATATATAAAGTCTTGGACTTTTTGCACAAAAAAAAACGTTTACGAGCTATTCACACACGCTCTGAGAGAACTGTTTAATTTGGCTTGCGCTTATCAAAGTCATCTGCAAATGGCGGGAAAGTTCTAAACCTGAACATAGTTCTGATATTTTTTTTTGCAAGGTAGTGAATTTGATCTTGAATCCTGCTAAAAAAGCAACAAATATTTTATTGATAAAAAATTAATTTTTAATACAGATGAGCTTTAATTTTTAGTTAAATTTTTAGTCCCCATAAATTAGCCCAGAATAAAATTTATTTTTGAGTCTTCCCTGAAAAATTTATTAAGTCTTCATTATGATTTTCGAGACTTGAATTATATATTTCATAAAGGTTTAAAGAAGAAATATTCAGTGTTAGAAAAAACATTCGAAAGTATTTTTTTATAAATCGGTTAACTATCAGGCACCGAAAATTTCATACCAATATTTTAATTTTAATTCATCGCATGACGATTTATTTTTTAATTATTTTAATCAAACATAATCGTCAAAAAACTAAACCTGCATGCGAATACGTCCTACTTTATTTCTTATTTTGTAATAAAACTCACCTTTTGGTTTTAATTCTTTAGTTTCCTTGTTTGAGAAAAATCTTGAAACTGTATACTCTGTAAGCTGTATCCACTTGCAACACCCACTGATCAGCTTTCGTGTTTTTTTTTGCTACCTTTGTTTTAATATAAACTTTTTAAATTTTCCGAAGAATAAACAGATTTTTCTTGAACGCGTATTAGCACTTGGCGTAGTTGAATGTATTCCTCAGAAAACAACAGTTTTTATTGCACAATTTTCAATAAAATATATAGTAAAAGTACTTTTTCTGCAAAGCGTAGTTGCTTGTCATTTGTTGCGGCGGCACTTTTTTTCTTTAATTATATTGTCACATTAATTTTTATTACTCGTGTAAACTCTTTCTTCACTCCTTTAAAGACTTTGATCACAAGTCCATATCGAATTGTTTTACAAAAAATACAAAAAAAAAGAGTTAATTTGCTATGCGCTTCAACGCAATAACTCTTCTTCTTAGTTAGTTCCTCGCTTAAAAACAACTCAAAAATGAAACTGGTCTTCAGAGTTGTTTACCCGTTTTTTTATTTTTGTTGTTTTACGTCGCTCTTACTTCGCGCGTTGCACGTTTTCTACGCTTCGACAACTGGCAGACAACTGAGCTGAAGTATGTTTCAATGTCTTACAAGAAGCATATTTTTATTCGGATACACGTTTTGTACTAGGTACGCTCGTCTGCCGCCTGCCATCTACTACTACTACGCCCTATAAGCAAACTTAGCTAGCACTGAAGTCAACTCTAAAAGCAGTCAAAAGAGTGACTGGCGCACACTCAAGAGTCAGTCAGTAAGCAGAGACAGAGACATGTGTACCTAGTTGGAAGAAACAAACGACTTGACACAATACAAACAACCACCGTACCAAATGTTGCCACCAGGTGAGCGGATGAGCTCTGAGGCTGGATGTATGTCTGCATGTTGTGGCAGCAGCAGCGATCGCAGCATAAAGAGCAGCAGCAACGTAAGCGACTGCAGCGCAGTTGTGATTGCGGCAGCGATGGTAACAGCGACGTTTCCAGCACCAAGCTGTTGCGCAGCATTGATCTTTGATTCTTTTACATTTACATTTACTGTTAGTTGTTAATGGTTTGCTCTGTTATGAAATTTGCAGTTGGGAATTAACAGTTGTCTTTCTGGTTGTGCGGCGTTAACAGGGGTTCTATTGGACGGCAGTTGATAGAAAATATGTAAATATTTTATTTATAAGTATCTATGTATGTACACAAATTTTTCTTGTAGAGTTCCTAAAGAGCATACCGGATTATATTTCTTATATTCATAGTTATGTAGTTGTTTTTATGTCAGTCTGTTCAAGACTGTTCGACTGGCTTGAGAATGCTTTTTTGATTTTTCGGTAATATTCTGCAGTTATATTCAAATGCAAATGCAAAATGTTGTCAACGTGGGAAACATTCATGGTAATGTACTGTTAGTTATTTAGGGTCTGTTATCGCCAATACAGCGGTCTACGTAATGTAACAGATATGGACTGTAATGTACTGATGGCACGAAAAGGATATTTCCGTGATAGGTTCGCGATATCTACTGATAAGTTTAAAATTTACATAACTGTAACATTTTCCGCGCGTTTTCTCATTTCTCTAAAAAATTTAGTGATCGTGACGGTTATCATCTTTATAAACAAAATCATAATTTAAGCGTTAAAATTGGATTTATCCTTTTCCGATCAAATCTAATTGTCAGTTTTTGATTTTTATGGAACAAAAAATTATCGTTATTTTTGGATTATTATATTTCGATCATATCATAACGGCTAAGATCACATTTATTCATTTTTTTTTTAGATCCTACAAAATTTAGCCATAAAAATTCAGTCTTCATAGCGGTCAAAAATAATCGAAAAAAATATAAATTCAAAAAAACGATTATTTTTTTATCGTAAAATACAATAAAAATCTTGCGATTATGCTTGATTAAAAAATAAAAATAAAAAAAATACTATTTTGTAAGGATCTAAAAATAAAAATCTTGGTATTTAATGGTTATTTTTGGACCTGCATTATTTCCAAAGATATCGACAGTTTTTGACTCACGCCAATATTCACGATAAACACTAGAACCACCCACAGAAATTTCATCGATCACACGATTTTTTATATTTGTACCGCTTCCTACCGGACTTGCAACAAGTAGACATATGTCGATGCTCCACTGGAAAATATTGGTGTGTATCTCCAAAGTCAAAATTAAGTTGGTACCTAAAGTTATTTGTGGCTTTTCGACATAATTTTTAATGGAGTAACTATCATAAACGTTGCAACTAACTTTAGAGTCGACTTTATTTTATGTTTACTATGAATGTGCCCCATTGCTATTTATCAACCTAATCTGCTATTTAACTGAAATACATGAAATTTTGAGTTGTGTTGTTATTGAAGAAGACCATCGATATGAGCATATAGTCCTTCAAACTTCAAATCCCGTATCGTTCTGCAGAACCTCACAACTGACATTTGTGCCAAAAATAAGATTTGCACACCGGAACCATTTTGAAAAACAAGACAGGTTTTACTCTCTCCTGTAAAAGTCGGACAACCTCACACACACTAAGTTTTGCATTAATACCCGGGTCGAAACTTTTTATTATGAGTTTTACCCTCACTTTTAGTATCCTCCGAAATTTGGTTCCTCTAAATTTCCTCTTTTGCTTTCGTTTTTAATAAGTTAAGAGCTTTTTTTCTAAATACATATATTATCACCATCAACCTGTTTTTTTTTTTTTTTTTTTTTGTTATTGGCCAGTTTTTTTTGTTCACGGTTTTTTTGTTATAAATTGGCGTCTGTTTTTTTTTTGTTTTGTGTGCAGAGCATCGTTCAACAAATGGGCGGAGCTAACACCCAATAAACCACATGTATGTAAGTATGTACGTGCATTCATACATACACACACCACAATATGTGTATGCACATACTTATGAACAGCTGTGAGTGTATATGTTAGTTTATATTTTGTAGAGTGAATCGTATAACTTCACATTTGAATAGCAAGCCAGTATGTTATTTTAATTACATTTTTTACACCCTTTAACAGTTGCATATGATAATTAATATCGCCCGATTTGTGCGAACAACAGAGATATTGATGCAGGCGTTTATTGTAACAAATAAAAAATAACAAAAAACAAATACTTACATTTTGGTTAATTGCGTTGGGATGCATGATATTAATTACGTAGTTTGACTGCTAATATCAATAAAATTAATCTTAAAAAAGAAACCTTTGATATAAAATTATGAATTATTTAAAAAATGAAAATATTTTCTTGTCTATTTTTTTGAAATAATTTCTTTTTACGATTGTTTACTGTAGCTGAGAGAAAAATTACATTCCCGTTCTCGCCATAAAACTGCTTTCCGCATTTATTTATAATTACTTTCTTTTATCTTCACACTCTCTACTGACTCATAGAGTTTCATTTCTAATTATTTTTACTTTAATGTTTCAAACTAATAGAACATTATTTTTTGCTAAAATCATCTCTTTCCTGTTTTGCCATTAAGCAACTTTTCTGATGACATAATATAGGGTAATCTATCAATTTCATTTGGATGTTTGAACAAGTTTTAAAGCGTCAATTGTATTTTAAGTATGTTAATTTTTAATGATTGAACATTTGAGAAGATTTTCGTCAAATCATCTTCAGTGAATCATGGACGGCTGCATGAGTCATATTACTTACATATATTAAAAAAAAAAGTATTCGAATTTTATGACACATATCCAAATAAGAAATAATTTTCTACCAAAGCTGTATATATTTAGTATTTTCTAGAAGTTCTGAATAAAAATTTGCAAATTTTGATGAAATTTTTTGCCATTTTTGTGAACTTTATATAAAGTGTGCAAGTTAAATTTATATGGTTTATATTATAGAATGAATGATAGTTTCACAAACAATTAATGCAAAAAATTGTGCATGAAAATAATTGTGAATATTATATTAGAACAAGTTGTATACTTTCATTTGTCGCCTAGTGTATTTCTGCATTAAAAAAGCTACGCATAAAATTCATTTACCATTCGAAGGCCGCGTAAAACTGGAGGAGAAGCTCAGCGACACAAATAGCAAGAGTGTAAGCGTTAAAACATTACAGCTATTCTTAAATTTGACCAGGATTTAATAAACAAATAAATAGAATATTTAGTGAAAATTTACAAAATTAAATAAATGGCAGTAAATTTAAAGTCTTAGCGATACACAGTGGCCCGCCCTATACAAGTTAGTCGGAAAAAAGTACTTATAGCTTCAAATTCTTAGATTTGTTACGAAAAAACACCTTGATCGGCGATCGATTGTATGACTGCAGAGGTCCTTTGAGGAGGAGGCTTTGTAGTAAAAAAGGTATATTTAAGGTATATAATTCAACTGACAGCTATTTCGGGGACACCCCAACCAAATTTGGTATGATGAAGCCAAAAAGCTTTTGAATTAATGCCACTGTTGGAGTCGGAACTTTCATCTGTTTCATAAGTTTTGTTCGCATCTTCATGGTGACTTACGAAATGAATATGCGGTTCTCTTAAGAAGCTGGTGGCGGAAATCGAAAGTCTTTTAATAGCTTTTGGCGGTGGTAAGTGTCAATGTTAATCCTAAATCCTGAAGATACGCAACTCAGGTTTATATAAAAACGCTTTTTATAATTTCTTCTCGTAATCCAGTAATTTCAGCACTTTTGGTGTGGTTCATAAAAAATCTCCTTGCAGTGTTCTAGTCATTAGTTGCACCATATCCAGTTTTACGCCATCAATTATTAAGCGCATTTCACTTTTAAAAGGAGACTGAATGTATTTTTGCGAGATCCTGCCTAGTCCTTGTCGGCAAATTTCCTGATAATATGAATTTTGACGTCCACTTTGTAAGCTATATGCGCATGTATACGAGCATTTTGATCAAAAAAAGAATAAAAATCCTTTGTATATATACATACATATATACATAAGCAGTAAAGATAATGGAGGTTGGCCATACATTTTATCCGCCTGGAAAGTGTTTTGTAGCGGTGGGCTCTATTTTATAAAAAATTATCTAATTTTTGTATGGGGACTTGCAAAGGAGAGGAGATAGGTGGTATGTTCCCAGGAAAAATTTGTTGGGGAAGGAAAAATAATGGGGGTTTATGGTGAATTTTATCCCATTTTAGCGATTTTTCATAACTCACTGTACTTTCATAAAAGTACAGGACCGTGCAGTTTTTAGATGGTTGAAAAAAGTTCGAATTCGGTGATATTTTTAGGCAAAAAAGACCTCTAATTTTGACATCTTACTCTAGCCACGTCGCTCATTATTTATATACGAATTGTTTTTCTTCTCTTCTTCGTCTTACATTAAATTGTTTTTACTTCTATGCCAAATACAAGTTTTCAAGCGTCCTGGCACACCACTTTAATGAACAGCGGCGTTCCAATGCATTTTTGTAATTTTTAGAAAACAAAATTTCAAAACTTCAACATTGACCTACAAAAAATCCACTAAAGCGGGCTTTAAAACACCAAAGGCTAATTTTGTTTTCTACACAATTGCACATTCATTAACAAGCTGGAATTATCAAACACCAACATTCAATTTTGATTTTTCCCGGCTAAAGTCGTCATATGGCCCATTGCTGATATATTTGGTTGACCAATTTTCGCAGGATTTAACTTTTCTGCGCGAA